AGAGTAGGCATTGGCAATAGGAAATCACTTTTTTCTATTGTGCTTATGCTCCGAAATCTGCTTTCTATTATGATTCTGTAACCGGAAGCTAGAAGTATGGAGCTCTATTCACCTCACATATGAAGTTCGACACTTTTAACTTTTTCTAACTTTAATGCTCCAGACGAAAAGTTAAGTAAACCAAAACTGTGCATGCAGAAAGTCATGTTTGCGTGATTCTTCGAAATATAATTTTGTTTTGAATTGTGTGGAAGTATGTTATTCAGCTTAAGTTGATAACAATAAGTTGTTCTCGCCCAAAGTGACAATGCAAAGGCCTCGAAAAAGTTATTGTTGGAAAGCATTATGTGGAGCGGTCATCCGTTAAATCCATACGTGTATCATTTTGCTCGTCTTGGCAGGAGAGTTAAGAACCATGACCTTTCGTTTCAAAGTTGATTTCTAGAAGAGGGACCCAAGAGAATTTCGATTTTGTAGAAATATTACTTTTCTTGCTCATGAAATTTATTGAGAAAGTCGATCTGCAAAGGTGACTGCAAGTCAATCTTTCTTTGGCCAACTAATAGTTGCTGACCCCGAATAAGCTCTCAAAAACATTTAATGAGTAATGTACACTCGAAGGATACTGTAAGCATATTTGCATACGATCTTAGTAAAGGCTACAATTTTTGATGATCATGTAAATGATATTTTGCTAGAAAGACGTCCCTCACTATTTATGCGTTTGACGGAGAACTTCGTTTTATTCTCTAATTAGTAACATACTATCCCAGCTCTTGCTTTCTTCTACAGTCACGAAAATCCGCATATCTGAAGACGGAACGGCTTCATCCACTATTCCATCAGTGAAATCCTCGCTTTATTCAACCATATGTCTTTTTTTACAACTGGGCAGTGATCATGAAGACTTAAGGACGAGTTTGCAGTACTTTAGACTTCAATCGTTTGATTATCGAATCAGAATGTTGTGAACTAATTGGACCCTACACTGCAATTTTTGATTCTTTATCAAACATGTGCATAGTATAGTTTGTTCAGTCTATTATACTATGAGGCACCTCATGTTGAGCTTTAGGATATTTTTATTGTTTGTGATTAATTTTCATCTTCTTTCTTCGAATTTGTTCTTGAGTACGGCCTTACAAATAGACTCATTACATACCACTTTTTTTTAAAAGAAGTTCTGCTGTAAATCAAACATTCTAAAAAGACTTATGACATACTCAATCTGTCTATGAACCCTTGCACATAAATAGATGCTCAGAGATACATAATTTTCAGATGGATACGCTTTGTAACAGTGCTTGGCTATATATTTTTCGTTTCTCTACCAGCCATTTCTCTAAGCATTTATTACATCTATATATGGGATCCAGGATACATCAATAAGGTTTGTTTTTCTTGGTTTCTCATACAAATGTTGGCTTCGATCCTTACTTTTCATATTTAGTTCCCACCAGAGGTGTTTAACAGCTCTAATAACCCTGTATATATTGCCCCGGTAATTCCTGTTCGTCCGGAAAGGGATACCTCGAACTCGCAAAAGCCATCTGGCGGTGGTGTGGTCCACGATCAGGTCGTGGAACAGCTGTGTCCAAACTGCAAGCATCAAAGCGTTGACCTCGCAACTATTCTGGCAGAAGGTGGGTCAGAACTTTCCGTCGTTTACAAGCTGAGCTTTATATCGCTTAGTACTCGTTTAACAAATAGCCGGATCTTTCCAGTTAATGCGAAGTTTATGAAATCATCCAGACAATTGCCATGTCAAAAGTTCCAGTTTATACTGATGCACCCTAATTCAACAGAAACAGCCCAATCCATTTACAAAAGTTGTATAGGTAGACATTATCTTGACTATCAGGCCCTTTTTATCTTGATGAGAACTTTCGGTAGTTCCATGTGAATTTAGAGATCCCCAAATTTTGTTGGCATAAGGAGGTTGTCATATGATCAAGTGAAAAACCGGTGGTCGTTAAAAGGTGTTCTTCTACAAGATTTTGTTCGCTTATCATGCGCACCCATATGACCAGCATTAGTTATTTCAAAATTTTGAGAAACTTACACCACCAAGATCTTTTTTTT